AAAAAAAAAAAAGGGAACACTTATGGAATCAAGAATCAGCACATGAGCGAGCCAGATTAGGAAACCTTCCCTAATTTATATACCCATTAGAAGTTGGCTGAGTTCCCTGACACAGGGGGCCAATGTTTGCTCCAAAGGTTTCGTGGATGGTGGGTCCTGCACAGTCAGGATAAGATTAACCAGACAACATGCAGAAGAAAATCCATGAAGGTAACAGGGCATTAGAGTCACATTGGTACAGTGAATAATCCCAACAGACTCCCCCTCCTTTAGGGTCATTAATTTTAAAAAAAGAGAGAGAGCAGATACCGGTACCAAGCCCATGTTGGTGAAGATAGGAAGGCAACAACTAATCCAATAGGTGCCACTCTTTTCATGGCTGCTCATAAGAGGATCTTCGGAGGACGCTCGAATGAAAGCAAGGTTTTGGTAGCCCACTCTCTGAACTACATAAAGTGAAAAAGATTTTTAGCTGTCTTGTGTATTCTATAAGGTTTACTTGGGAACTTAAAAAGCTCCAATGTAGGGGCTGGACAGATGGCTTGGCAGTTAAGAACACTGGTTGTTCTTGCAGAAGACCTGGGTTCGAATCCCAGCACCCACATGGCAGTTGACAACTCTCCATAACTCCAGTCCTAGGGGATCCGACAGCCTCTTCTGACCTCCGCAGGCATTGCACAACAGATACACTTACCTACATGCAGGCAATACACGCATACACATAAAAAAAAAAATTTTTTTTAAAAGCTCCAATGTGTACATGGGTAATGTTGATTTATTATATTGTTGTGTAATTTGGAGTCCATGTTCTTTTAATTAGGTAACACTGCACAGCATTCTCTTCTGAGCCAAAGAATTACTTCAGATGTGCCTACTTACAAAAAAAAAAAAAAAAAAATCACAATTGGCCTTATTGACTGTCCTGTTCCTTCATTAAAGGAGGGGTAAACAGGGTCATTGTACTCTCACCTGAGTATCCAGGCCTCTTTTGGCCTCTGCAGGTACTGCATGCATGGGCTGCACTTACATACTTGCAGACAAACTCATACACATAGAATAAAAATAAACTTAAATGTACAGGGGAAGATGGAGGCAAAAGATAATGAAGTTAAATGTACCCATGGAAGGTAAGAGATAATGTTACTGGCTTTGAAAATAAACCAAGGATCCAAGAGACAATGTGGCCTTTAGAAGCTGGAGAAAGTAGGGAAACAGATTTTCTCCCAAGAGCTTCCACAGAGTAATACATCTCTGATACCTTGACTTAGTCCAGTGAAACCCAACAATAATCAAAACAGGAGTATTATGAGGCTGTACAGATGGCTCAGTGGGTAAGAGAATTTCTGGGGCTTACTGGTTGCCAGCTTGAGAGAGAGAGAGAGGAGAGAGGAGAGAGAGAGAGAGAGAGAGAGAGAGAGAGAGAGAGAGAGAGAGTAAGGCATGGTTTGTAGTTCAGTGATATAGAGAGCCTAGAGAAAGGGGTCAGCAGGCTCAACACACGTTAAAATGAATTTATTGTGTGAAATCTCATAACCTAATGTTGGACTCTTTCCCCACAAGACCTAAAGAACTCATTCATTGAGGGAATAAAGAATGTGTTAGGGGCATTGGTATTGTTGGGTTTACTGGTGGCTGTCTCAAAGGTGAAGATTCAAAAGTTAAAACAGAAATAACCAGGATGGTTACCATGACTGCTTGCCTGATGCCTAAATCATCAGTGGGCCTTGTCACCAGTAAATACAAACAGGTCACCATTCAGTAATACTAAGTTTAAGGTGCTGGGAGGTCACCTAGACAGGTCTTTCCTAAGCTACTCAAACAGTAAGAAAATTAGAGTTTTTGCTTTGTTTTGTTTTTGGTCTTTTTGAGACAGGGTTTCCCTGTAGCCCCGGCTGGCCTCAATCTCACAGAGATCCACCTGCCTTTGTCTCTTGAGTGCTAGAATTAAAAGCATCGCTAAACCTGGCTCTGTTTTTGTTGAGACAGGGTCTCCCTGTGGTCCAGAACTCATAATGTATCCTAAGCTGGCCTTTGCCCATGCCCAATCCTCCAGTTTTTTCAGTGCCTCACCCCACCTATTTGGCTGGTACAGAAGACTTACCACCTGTGGCCTTATCTGATCCTTGTTAAAAATAAAAGATGTCAGGTTTACAGGAAAGAAGCTGAGATGATTTAAGATGGTTCCTTTGAAGGGAGACAGCTGTCACAGTATGGGGGAAGGGTACAGAGAACAAAAAGAATTACTTGTTCTTACAGGTTTCTGTGGGAGGGGAGGAGGTAAGCTCCATACCACATGATATGCCAGAAGTCACAAGGCACTATCTTTGGCATACTGGGTTCAGCATTAGGTAAAAAGATACTTCAGCCGAGGCGTGGTGGTGTATACCTGTAAGCCCAGGGAGGCAGAGGCAGGCGGATCTCTGTGAGTTCCAGGCCAGCCTGGTCTACACAGGAGTTCCAGGCCAGCCGGGGCTACAGGGAGACCCTGTCTCAAAACAAAACAAAGTTCAGTGACTACCTACTGGAGACTAAACACCATAATACAAAGATAAGTGACAGAAGATGTGTAACTGGGTTTCTAGGCAACAGTGGGCATAAGAAACAGAGAGATGTCTTACCAGGGCAGAGATTGCAGTTAAGACTCTACAAGGAAGGATTTAAGGTAATCATATTGGGCATCAACTTCTGGAGTTTTCAGAAGGAAGTTGTTTAGGGTGATCTGATTTTCACAGATTTTAGTATAGACAGATTAAGCACAGCAAAATGTTCAAGGCTTACAAAATGATGCTGATAAGGAAAGCATGTGTACTCATGTAGAGAAACAGCACAAGGCAGATAACTACGCAGCTTCTACCCGTATTCTACCACTCTTTGCACACATCCACCAAGCCAGTGCCAGTAACTTTTTCTCTCCCTATTTTTCTAAAAAAGATTTTAAAATTTACTTTATGTAAATGAATGTTTTACCCATGCATGCACTGCCTGTGGAGGCCAGAAGAGGCCATCAGATCCCCTAGAACTGGTGTTTCAGATTGTTATCTGCCATGTGGGTGCTGGGAACCAAACCCAGGTCCTCTGCAAGAGCAGCCAGTGCTCTTAATCACTCAGCCATCTTTCCAGCCCTTATTTTTATTTTATGTTTATGAGTGTTTTGCCTGCACGTACATATGTGCACTACATGCATGCAATGCCCACAAAGGCCAGAAGAGGGCATCAGATCCACTAGAATGGAAGTTACAGATGGCTGCTAGCTGCTATGTGGATGTGCTTTTAACTGCTGACCTATGTCTCCAGACCCCTTTCCTTTTTTTGGATACAAGGTCTGGCCTGAAACTCAAGATCTTCCCACTTTAGCCTCCTTGGGATTATAGGGGTGCACTACCGTGCCTGGCCATACTTTTATTTACAAAAGTGTTTAATAACCATGGCCAGTTGGGATGGCTCAGTGAGTGAGTGAAGGTGCTTGCCTCCAACTTGAAAACATGTTTGATTCCCAGAACCCATGTGGTGGATGGAAGGAGAGAATGACTCCACAAGTTGTCTTGTGACCTCCAAACATGCACTGGGGAATGCAGCCACTACCCACCCAATAAAAAAAGTGTTTATCATTTATCACTTATCACAATATGATAATTTATCACAGTAATGGTTCTGAGGCGTCACATGATGCTATGTATGTTTATTCTGAAACAGACTGTTAAAGGTGGCTCAATTCTTTACAAACTACAACCGTGGAATACACATTAAAACAATTAAACAATTTCAGTGTTTCTTCCTTAACTACATTGGACACACATCAGTTTAACTATGCAGAAGGCAATGTTGGCATGGTTCACTGGGACCTAAAGTATGAGAGACCCTGCTGGGTGACTAGTGTGGAGCCCACTGCTGCTCTGCAGACCTCTGGTCTGCCCTGCCACTGCAGAGCTCCATGGCATTCCTTGATGACTGGAACAAAACCTACCACCAAACATTACTGCATTACAGAGCTTCTCCCTACCATTCACATTCTAAAGTTTACAAAAACGAAAGCCAGAACACTTGACAATTACAGTACTTCTCCTTCTCCAGTGTGGACTCTCTGATGTTTAGAAAGATTTGACTTGCTACAAAAGGTTTTCCCACATTGATTACACCAGTAGGGCTTTTCACCAGTATGAATTCTGTGATGCTTATTAAAATTTGAACTGTGGTTGAAGGCTTTCCCACATTCCTTACACTTATAGGGCTTCTCTCCTGTGTGCAGGCGCTGATGGGAACTGAGACCTGCGTGCTGACTAAAGCTCTTCCCACACTCGTTACACTGATAGGGCTTCTCCCCTGTGTGAATGCGATAGTGTCGAATGAGGCTGCCTTTCCCACTGAAGGCTTTCCCACAGTCCTTACACTGATAGGGCGCCTCTTCTGCATGCATCTTCTGATGTTTAAGGAGGTCTGAGCTCTGCCCGAAGGCTTTCCCACACTTACAGTCATAGGGCCGGTCCACTAAGTGTGTTCTGTAATGAAGGGTAAGGTTGGAGCTGTGGCTGAAAGCCTTCCCACATTTTGTACACACATAAGGCTTCTCCCCGGTGTGAGTTCTCCTATGTTTGGTGAGGTTTGAGCTATTGCTAAAGGCTTTCCCACACTCTGCACATATATAACGTTTTTCTCCTGGAGCAGATTTAGACACCGATTCCGCCCTCTTCTTGGAACCTGTGTCTCGAAGAGGGGTTTTTGCTCCTCTTTCAAGGTTGTTGACCCACTGCCTTTCTGACCTGGCCCCATACTTATTGGCAATAATCACAGGGATGATATCCCTTTTGAGTCCATCTGCATGAGACTCTTCTTCAGAACTTTTCTGCTCATCTCCTGATTCCTCCTCCTTCTGGAGATTTGATTTGCAACCTGAAAATAAATGGGTTAAGGATACATCAGTTGTTTCCTATTCCAAGGAAGCAACTGTTAGTAAGAAACAAAATCACCAGATGAGGTAGAGGAGGCGATGACATATACAAAACAGCTCTAACAGCAATACAAATAAAGCCATCATCACATCTGGTTTATGACCACACATTCATGTGAGCCTCCCCCAATCCCCACACCAAAAAAAAGCTATATGATAGATTTTCTGTCCAAAGAGCTTCGGATACACAAAGCAAAAAAGGTAAAATAAGCATAATGGATATTTTATATTCATGTATTTTATATGTTAAAGTATGTTTATATTTTATGTGTACGAGTGTTTTGCCTGCATGTATGTACATGTACCTATGTACATGTGTGCAAACCCATGGAGGCCAGAAGAAGGCCTTGGATTCCCTGGAATAGAAGTTATGGACAGGTGTTAACTGCTATGTGGGTGCTGGGAACTGAACCTGGGTCCTCTGGAAGAGCAGCCAGTGCTCTTGACCACTGAGACATCTCCCCAGCCCCATATAATCTTACTCTTTTTTTGTCTTTTTGAGGCAGGGTCACCCTGTAACCCAGCCAGCCTGAAACTCGCTATGTAGAACAGGTTCCACCCACCTCTCCAAGTGGTCTGGAATAGTCTAGAACACACTGGAATATTCTGTCTATGGCCTCACATTTGCTTCTGCAACATAATCAGAACCAATGTTTGTGCGTTAATTTCTTGACTTGTGGAAGGTTTCTAGATCATGCAGGTACAAGAAACTCAGATCTCAAGTTCTACTAAGGTGAACACCTGGGTTTCAGTGTTGAAGGTGTGACAAAGTTCCACCTAGAACTCAGGCAGACTGGCAAACTTCCTCATAGTATTCTGCTACGGCCTCACTGTTCTAGTCCAGCACCTTTTTAGGGCTCTGTAAGCTTTTGAGAGTTTATGTGAAGCTGACAGTGTCAACTTTCTCTTCCTTGGGAGCACTAAGAAGAGCCTTCGCTTCTCAACTGGGCATTAAAACCTGAGCCATTTCTAGTTCTGTTAATCTTTCCCTAGGCCTTCCCCTTTTTGTAGTAGTGCCAAGTACCTAAGACAAGAGAAACAGAGGCTGACTACTTATATATTCATATATAAAATAACTCACTGCCCTAAAAAAAAATTTTAAGCAGGGCATGGTGGCATATGTCTTTAATTCCAACACTCAGGAGGCAGAGGCAGGTGGATCTCTGTGAGATCAAGACCAGCCTGGTCTATATAAACAGTTCTAGGCCAGCTGGGGCTACAGGGAGACGCTGTCTCAAAAAGACCCCCCAAAAATGAATTTAAAAAATTTTAAGTTTATTTTTTAAGAGTATTAAAAAATTTAAAAAATTTCTTTTATATTTCAAGAGTGTATGTAAGTACACCACATGCATGCAATGCCTGCTGAGGCCAGAAAAGGGTATGGGACGCCCTGGAACTGGAGTTACCAACAGTTGTTCACTGTCATGTGGGTGCTGGGAATCAAACCTGGGTCCTCTGCAAGAGCAGCCAGTGCTCTCAAAACACTGAGCCATCTCTCCAGTCCCTAGAATGTATTGCTTCTTTATTTTTAAACTTTATTTTTATTTTATGTGAGTTTACTGCCTGCATGTTGAGTGCACTCACGTTGTGCAATGCCCTGGGAGGTCAGAATAGGACATGAGAGCTCCTGGAACTGGAGTTAGGGACAGTTGTTAGCTACCATATGGGTGCTGAGAATTGAACCTCGGCTCTCTGCAAGAGCAGCCAGTGCTCTTAACCCGAGGCATCTCTCCAGCCCTTTATTTTTAATTTTTGAGACAGAGTCGCACTATGTAGCCCTGGTTGGTCTGGAATTTACTATGTAGACTAGACCAGGCTGGCCTGGAACTTATGAAGCTCTACCGGCCCACCTGTGTCTGCCTCCCAAGTGCTAGGATTAAAAGTGTGCACTACCATGCCTGCCTAAAATGTAACTTTTCTCTTTTTTTTTTTTTTTAACTATTCTATTTATTATTTTTATTTTATGTGTATGAGTATATTGCTTGCATGTGTGTGAGTGCACCTGTGTCGTGTAATGCCGAGGAAGTCAGAAGAGGGTATCAGATTCCCCTGGAACTGGAGTTAAGGACAATTAGTAGCCGCCATATAGGTGCTGGGAATCGGACCCGGGTCCTCTGCAAGGGCAGTCAGTGCTCTTAACTGCTGAGCCATCTCTCCAGCCCCCTGTTTTATTGGTATTTTTAGTCTAGCTGGCCTGGAACTCTCTATGTGGGACAGGCTGGCCTCAAACTCACAAAGATCCGCCTGCCTCTGCCTCCTTAGCCACTATTAAAGGTGTGAGCCACTATGCCTGGCCCTGTAGTTTTTTCTTTAAGATTTATTTTCATGTTTTGAGTGTTTGGCCTGCATGTATTTAAGTGAACCACACGCATGCAGTACCTGTGGAGGCCAGAAGAGAAATGGATTCCCTGGAACTTGAGTTACAGATAGTTGTGTGTTATTTGGGTGCTGGGGAATGAACCCAGGCCCTCTGGAAGAGCTGGAATCTTTTGAGCCCTAGAATGTAGTTCTGGTTTGTTTTTTTTTTTCTTTTTTTTTTTGAGACAAGGTCTCTGTGTAGCCCCAGCTGTCCTGGAACTCACTATGTAGACCAGGCTGGCCTCGAATTCACAAAGATCCGCCTGCCTCTGCCTCCCAAGTGCTGAGATTAAAGGCGTGTGCAGAATGTAGTTTTTAACAGAGCTCAAAACCCTGTTTCCAAAGTAGAATTTCACCTGTCTAGGACATGGTAAGCAATGCATAAGGAGACTTTGAAGGGCCATGGCTCTGCTCATGAAGACACAAAACCCATGAAAAATGACCTAATGTTAACTCTAACTGAGCAAAGTCTTGGTGAGGTAAGTTTTTGAGACAGGGTCTCCCTCTCCCTGTACCCCAGCTGGTCTCACAGAGATCTGCCTGATTCTACCACTGCTCCCCCCCCCTGCCCCCGCCGCCGCCCGCCCCAGCTGGGATTAAAGGCTTTCACCATCACTCCTGGCTCATAATATACTTCATCAACATGTATTCACTCTGAAAATGTTATTACCTTCAGGGAATTGAAGGTATGTTAAGAGTAGAAATCACCAGTATAAACAAATAAAGGGGAAAATCATTCATGGTTTCTGAGGTAGTCCTATGATTTGTGAAGATCTGAGCTGGGAAGTATTTTTTTTTTTTTGTCTTTTTGAGACAGGGTCTCCCTGTAGCCCCAGCTGGCCTGAAACTCGCTTTGTAGACCAGGCTGGCTTTGAACTCAGAGATCCGCCTGCCTCTGCCTCCGGCAAGCTTTTTTTTTTTTTTTTTTTTTTTTCCGAGACAGGGTCTTATGTAGCCCAGACTAGCCTTTAACTCATTATGTAGCTGAGGAAGATCTTGAATTTCTGATCTTCCTGTCTCTACCTCCTGAGTGCTGGAATTACAGGTATGCACCTTGATTATGCTGTACTGGGGATGGAACTCAGGGCTTCCTGCATGATAGGCATGTACACTACCAACTGAACTATACTTCCAGCCCCCTAATCTACCTTTGAACTGTGGCTTTAAAAAGGAGGCTCGTAATGCTCTCCCATTGGCCTTTTCCAGAGCCATTCTGTCTTCTTCTGTACTCCAAGAAATGGACTCTTATACCTGGATACTTCTGCTGTCTGGCTAAGTCTGGGTTTGCTGATAGGGACACCAGAAGATGTGAGAGCAGGAATAGCTTAAAAATGAGGCATCTGGGCTGGAGAGATGACTCAGCAGTTAAGAACACTGACTGTTCTTGCAGAAGACCGAGGTCTGAATTCCAGTACCCACATGACAGCTAACAACTGTCCATTAACTCCAGTTCCAGGTGATCCGACAGCCTCTTCTGTCCTCCGTGGGGCACTGCATGACATGGGTGCACTTACCTACATGCAGGCATAATACTCATACACATTAAAAAAAATTAATTAAAAAAAAGGGGGCATCTGGGCATGGTGGCACACGCCTTTAATCCCAGCACTTGGGAGGCAGAGGCAGGCAGATCTGTGAGTTCAAGACCAGCTGAGGCTACAGGGAGACCATGTCTCAAAAAGACCAAAAAAAAAAGGGGTGGGGGGGAAGATCTGTTCCATTTTCTCCTTAGCTGATGGCAGGGCCTGAGCTTTATCTCCTAGCACGTGACCACTCCTCTCCCCACTCCCCCATCAAGGCCCAGGTCTTGTTTGGTTCTAGTAACAGGTTCTGCCTCTTGACCCTTCAAGTTCATAGGCAGTAATTTTCTTCTTCTTTTTTTTCCTTCTGAGATAGCATCTCCCTGCAGCCCCAGCTGGCCTGGAACTAGCTATGTAGACCAGGCTGGCCTTAAATGCAGAGATCCATCTGTCTCTACCTCCTGAGTGCTGGGATTAAAGGAGTGCGGGGATTAATGGTGTGGGCTACCATTATGGCAGCAGTACCTTTTCACTGTTGTCTAGTTCAGCACCTTTATTGGCTCATTCTAGCAGTCCACATCTAATCAATCTCTCCCTCTTTTTTAATTCACGTTCTAGTGTTGGGAACCTGAGGCAGTGGGATATATGGGGAAGAAACTGAACTACTTCTGCTTAGTCTGTCTGACCAGTCAAGTTAAGTTAGGGGTCACCTCTGACCAGGAGTAATGCCTCTGGGCACTGAGATGGGTCCTCACCTTGACGCTTTCTTGGATCCAGAGTGCAGTCTTCCTCCTCACCAGTCTCTTGGATGTATAGGGGCCCCCAAAACTCGTACTTGGGGCTGGCATCCACAGGTTGAGTCTGGGTACTGCTCGGAGTCTCCATGGTAGGTCCTGAAGTCGGCATCTTCTCCCAAACCTGCTTCTGTTCCTTTGGAGAAGCCGAGACCTACAGAGTAAGAAATGGCTGTGTGTGTGCAGAGCTTACTCAAGAACTAGAACGAAAAAGATTTCAGGAGAGCTATGTGGAACTTCTTGAAGAAAAAAGGCCCATTCAATTCCCAAGGCTACTCAGGATAAGTGAAGAAAACTAGGAGAAACACTGTGCAGCTCATGAGAAGGTCCCACAGCTAATGTTACAGAACAGACAAGCCCTGATCCCTGCCAACAACGCTATGCTCCTAATCTCCTGGTATCTGCCAGCCTCCCACTTACCTGTAGTCCTGGCTCATCCAGTTCTTGCTCGAGGTCTTCCAGGAGAGTGACAGCCTCCTCTGCACTCTCAGGGCAGTGCTCCTGCACCCAGGTCTGGAGCTCACGGGGCAGGATGGACAGGAACTGCTCCAGCACCAGCAGCTCCAGGATTTGCTCCTTGGTGTGGATCTCAGGCTGCAGCCACTCACAGCAGAGCACCCGCAGCTGGCTCAGCGCCTCTCGGGGCCCAGGGGTATCATGGTACCCGAACTGCCTGAAGCGCTGGCGGAACGTCTCCAGGCTAGGACGACACTTCTGTTTTTCATCATCCTCCTCAACTTTCATAGCTGCAGGCCCCATGGACTCTTCGGGTGGCCTGGGGCCCAGAACTGTGGCCATGCCCACCACCTTTGTCATCACACGGTCTCCAGAAACAGCAGGGCTGTGAGGAGCAGACCAGGTACGTCTGGATTTCTGGTTCTCAAACAACACAAGTTAAACCTGTAAAAACATGGTTGTCAAAAAATTTTATTTTTTAAAAAAGTTTGCTTTTCCTGCTCTTTACAGCCATATCTTTACCCCAGTGGCCACCATAAAAATTATCATATAAAAAGTAATGATCAGGCCAGGCATAGTGGTGCATGCACACCTTTAATCCTAGCACTTGGGAGGCAGAGGCAGGCAGATTTCTGTGAGTTCAAGGCCAGCCTAGTCTACATAGCGAGTTCCAGGCCAGTTGGAGCTACAGTGACACCCTGTCTCAAAAAGACCAAAAAAAAAAAAAGTATTGGCCAGGGCTGATGAGAAGGCTCAGGATGCAGGCCTTGCTGCCAGGCCTGACCACCTGGTTTGAGCCCCATGACCCAAATGTAGACAGACAAAAAGAACTTTCCCAAGTTGTTCTCTGACCAGCACATGTATGTGTACCCTGGCACACACGTGCATAAACGGAATAAATATGGTTAAAAAATTATGTCATTTGCAGAGAATGGATGGAACTGCAGATTATCTATGTTAAGAAAAATCAGCTGGACTCACAAAAAAAGTAATTTTCTCTCATATATGGAATTTGGAGGGAGGGCATGAAAGTAAAAGGGATCTAGGAGAAACAGGCAGTGAGGGGCAAGAACGGGAAAGAGATGGCTGATTATCACTAAAGTACAGTACGTGACACATGGAAATGCCACAATGAAACCTGTTACTCCATACAACTAATACACACTAGTTCAAAACAAGTTCAAAATCTTCCTGGAGTAGCTAAATACAACCTGCTTTGATCTATGTTGTGTCCACATTCCCAAAAAGTACAGGGTGGCATATTTTAAAAACTAGATCTTTACTTCAAAAACTGTTTTGCAATCCTACAACTATAGGTATCATAGTTTCTACAGTTCCAGCAAGCTATCTAATACTGTTAGAGCCTAAAAAATTTACCAGTCAGCTGGGTGTGGCGCTGGACACCTCTGACCCCAGCAGAGATCAGGAGGCAGAGGCGGGTGGAGCACTCTGAGTTCCAGGCCAGCCTAGTCTACATAGGGAGCTCCAGGCCAGCCAGGGATACAGAGTGAAACCATGTATCAAAAAGCAAATAAATAGGCCAGGTGTGGTGGCACACAACTTTAATCCCAGTGTTTGGGAGGCAAAGACAGGCAGATCTCTAGGAGATCAAGGCCAGTGTGGCCTATGTAGTGAATTCCTGGCCAGGTAGGACTACAAAAGAGAGTCTGTCTCAAAAAACAAAAAAAGTAAATAAATTTTACTTGTCAAATGACCGTATTTATCAGCATGAACAGGTGCCAGGCTAGAATTAACTAGTTTGTTTAAAAACAATGGAGTTTGACACTTTAAACTTTTTTTTAATAAAAATTTTTTAAAATTATTTTTATGTGTACGCGTGTATTGCCTCCATGTAGGTAAGTGCACCGTGTTGTGCAATGCCTGTGGAGGTCAGCAGAGGTTGTCAGATCCCCTGGGACTGGAGTTATGGACAGCTGTTAGCTGCCATGTGGGTGCTGGGATTCGAACCCCGGTCTTCTGCAAAAACAACCAGTGTTCTTATAACTGCTGAGCCATCTCTCCAGCCCCATGAGTTTGACACTTTAAATGGGGAGGGTAGGGAGGGAGGATAAGACAGGGAGAGAAAGAGGAGAGATGAATAGTGCCTAGCTAGCATAAACAACCAGAGGGAGCCAGGCGTGGTGGGGCACGCCTTTAATTCCAGCACTTGGGAGGCAGAGGCAGGGGAAATCTCTGTGAATTCAAGGCCAGCCTGGTCTAGGTCTACATCATGAGTTCCAGGACAGCTGACGCTACAGGGACACCCTGTCTCAAAAAGACAAAAAAAACTCAAAAAACCAAAACCAAAAAAAACCAAACAACCAACCAGAGGTAATGGTGTAAGTTCAAAAACTTGCTGAAAAATTACACAGACAATATCTGTTCATGAGTCCATGTGTATAGCTGAAGACTACACAACAAGAAACAGTGCCAGAGAGGAGAACCCTTCCTTTGAGTTGCTGATCAAGGTGGTCCAAGTAACTCCCAAAATTACACAGGCTATTGCCACAGTCCTTGATTACCTCCTAGAATTTGGTGGTAAGACCCTGTTGCTGAACACAGAACATACTTCAGACACAGGATTTGAAGCAACGGAGCTGGAACTGACCTGGAAAACACCTCCCCTGAAGGCTAGCTCTCATAGCTTTGGAGAACACTTATGCAAGCTGCTAAGGGAGAACATCAACCAGTGGTCCAACCCCAGCTTCAAGGCCCAAAAACCACATCAATGACCAGCACAGCAAACAGCACTGGTGCAGTAGTGGCACTGTTACCTAGGGGGTAATCAACAGCTACCTAATTGGACTTATAGCCCAGTCAACGGGAGGAACACCTGTGGTACTGTAAACCTAGCAAATACACATAGCTGGAGAGGTCACAGGTCTTAGAGAAAACTCCAAGGCTGTCACATCCCTAGACAAATGTAATATGGATCCTTAAATCAACAGACAAGTATCCAGTCACCGTCCATCAAAGAAGCTTTTTTTTTTTTTAAGAGTCAGAGATAGTTACAGAGTTCCACAACTGGTCACACACAGAGATTGTCTGTGAATTGTCCAAGTTGTGGCACATCTAGGATGCAACCTCTACACCTAAGGCTCAAGGAACATAGAACAAGGGATTGAGAGACCTGAGTGACTCCATAAAAAAAAATTTGGTCTTTTTGAGACAGGGTCTCCCTGTAGCCCCTGCTGTCCTGGAACTCACTGTGTAGACAGGCTGGCCTCGAACTCACAAAGATCCACCTGCCTCTGCCTCCCAAGTGCTGGGATTAAAGGTGTGTGCCACCATGCCTGGCATCTAACTAATGCATCTTTCAATTCATACCAATGAAGCAACACAGAGTAAGAGTCTGCAGAGTGTGGGTCCTTGGACAGAACTCCTATATTAAAATCCACCCACCCAGGGCTCAGGGATCATTTCCGGAGGGGGCGCAGAAAGATTGTAAGAGCCAGGGGGAAGGTGCAGGACCATATGGAAATAGAGTCCTATAGGCTCCTGGGACTCTAATATGAACCTACAGCAATGGTGTCAGCATGCACAAGACCCATGCAAACTTAAGCAGACAAAACATCAGCACAGAACTGTGGAAATGAGCAGCAGGTCCCAATCTTAGTTGAAGAATTATTGGCAGCTGATTACTGCTGGGTAAGCATGAGCTTATTTTCTTAAAGGGAGGGACTCTAAGATTGGCTGACTAGATCCCAGTGGATGAACTTGCACTGAAGGACATCTGGAGACAATAACTTTACACACTAGGCCTTAACACAAATGATAGAAGGTATGAACTCCAGTGGGGGGAGGCGGGGACTATGAGAGGGTGTCAAAGGGGAAGGGGGTATAAAAATGATTTTCTGTATGAAATATACAAAAATTCAATAGAAAATTTTAAAAAAAGAAAAGAAAGCTGGGGTCTAGAGAGATGGCTCAGTGGCTAAGAGCCCTGGCTACTGTTGCAGAGGACCCAAGTTCAGATCCTGGCACCCACACAGTGGCTCACAACTGTCCATAACTCCAGTTCCAAGGGAATTTGACACCCTCTTCTGATCTCTGAGGGCATTGTACAACATGGGTACACTTACATACATGCAGCAATACACTCATACAAATAACATAAATGCGTAAAATATTTTTTAAAATAATGGAGTTAAAAAAAAGAAAAATAATGGAGTGCAAGGGCTCCAGCTGTCTTGCAGGTACAAGGCCCCAGGTTCCATCCCTAGCACCATATATATTAATAGTACAATCAGGATGCAATCTGAGCTTCACCCAACTCATTTTAACAACTTATTCAGGGCTGGTGAGATGGCTCAGCAGTTAAGAACACTGCCTGTTCTTGCGGAAGACCGGGGTTCGAATCCCAGCACCCACATGGCAGCTAACAACTGTCCATAACTCCAGTCCCAGGGGATCTGACAGCTGCTTCTGTCCTCCACAACACGGGTGCACTTACCTACATGCAGGCAATACACGCATACACATAAAATAAAAATAAAAAATACTTTAAAAATAAAAAAAAGAACTTATTCAAGTTTTCTATCACTTTTTTGTGCTGAGAGAGTGTGTGTGTACATGTGTGCAGGTGAGCTTGCCTCTGTGTGTGTGTGTTGAGGCCAGAAGTCAATGTCATGTCTCTTCCTTTATCACTTTAAAAAAAAAATTTTTTTTTGAGACAGGGTCTCCTCATAGCCCCAGCTGTCCTGGAACTCACTATGTAGACCAGGCTGGCCTTGAATTCACAACAATCCACCTGCCTCTGCCTCCCAAGTGCTGGGATTAAAGGTGTGCGCCACCATGCCTGGCTTAAAATTTTTATTTATTTTTATGTGTACAAATGTTATGCCTGCAAGTTTATGTGCACCCGTGTCCTGCAGTGCCTGTGGAGGACAGAAGAGGGCGTCAAATCCCCTGGAACTGGAGTTTCAGAAGGTTGTTAGCCCCAAGTGGGTGCTGGGAACCAAACCCAGGTCTTCTGCAAGAGCAGGCAATGCTCTTAATAGCAGAGCCATCTCTCGAGCCCCTCCTTTATCTTTTTTTTTTTTTTTTTTTTTTTTTTTTGGTCTTCTTGAATCAGGGTCTTCCTGTAGCACCAGATGGCCTGGAACTTAGTATACAGACCAGGTTGGCCTTGAACTCAGAGATCTGCCTGCCTCTGCCTCAAGTACTGGGATTGAAGGTGTGTACCACCAGCCCTGACCTCCTTTATCACTCTTTATTTTTTTGTTTTGAGACAGGGTTTTTCACTGAACCTAGAGCTCACTGATGGCTAGACTGGCTGGCCAGTGAACCACAGAGATCTGCCTGTCTCTACTCCCTTAGTACTGACATTACAGGTACAAGGAGACATGCCTAGATTATTATGTGTATGCTGGGGACACAAACTCAAGTCTTCCAGTGTGTGCAACAAGCATATTACTAAGCCATCCCCACAACTCCACATTGTTTTCAAGTGCCTTTAGCTTAAAAATTGTCTTATTTTTAAATTGTGTATGTGTGTGTGTGTGTGTGTGTGTGTGTGCTATAGGTGTCCAAGAAAGCCAAAGGTGTCAGATTCTCTGGCGCTAGAGTTACAAGTAGTTTTGAGTTGCCTTACATGAGTTCTGGGAACTGAACTCAGGTCCTCTGTAAGAGCAGTACATACTCTTAACCACTGAATCCTCTTTCTAGCCTCAGAGAACCATCTCTTGAGTCCCCACATTTAATTAATTATTTTGTGTGTTGGGGGAAGAGCACATACATGCCTCAGCATGTATGTTCAGGTCAATAACTTGGTGGGAGTTGGTTCTCTCATGTGGGTCCCAAGGATTGAACTCGGGCCCTCAAGCTTAGGTGACAAGTGCCATTACCTGCTGAGTCATGCCCTGCTTTTATCTTTTAACACAACAGGTGGAAGGACAGAACAATTAGACTTAAGGTAGTATATATTTTAATATAATTATTTTTTATAAAATATGTATTGCTAGCTGGGCATGGTGACACACCTCTTTAATCCCAGCACTCCAAGACAGAGGCAGGTAGAGCTCTGTGAGATCAGGGCTAATCTGGTCTACATATGAGTTCCAAGCTAGTTGGGACTACAAGGAGACAATCTCAAAAAGACCAAACCCACCCCTAAAATAATAACTTATTTAAATGTGTGTGTTGCTGAGAAAAAATTGAGAGGAAAAATTTATTTTAAAGAGATATAAACAAAAATTGTTTAAAAGTATTTTTTCTTTTAAAATTTGAATCTCCCAGTTGACACATTAGAACACTATTGCACACTTTAAGAACATAATTACCGTAAGGTTCTTGTTCTTCATTTGCCATAAAGTGAGGACCACCAATTCAACAACACTTACTCAACACCTGCCATGTGACCAGATGTCCTTCCCCTTCCTGGATCTTTCTAGTTAGTGGCGGATGGGGAGGAGGAGATGAGTAAACAGCTTAGAGAATCAGTCTCCCACTGGTACTCTAAGTGTAAGAAAATGCAAAAATGAAATTTTTATGCTTATGACACGAAGGGGCGGGCAAAGGTCCCACCTGCTGGGCTTGTAGAGCATGCCTGCAATCCCAGCATTCCAAGCTACTCACTTGGTGCAGTCCACTACATGCATATACAGCAACACTCTGTCTCAAAACAGCCTGGTCTACATATCAAGTTCCAGGCTAGCTGGGCCTACTAAAAAAGGGGAGGGGGGAATGGAAAACAAAGACTTCACTTTACAACTAATTTAACACTGTCACAGTGAACTACTTTTCAGTTTGTTTATTATTTATTTATTTATTTTGACAGGGTCTCCCATAGTCCTAGCTGGCCTGGAACTCACTATGTAGATCTCTGTGAGATCTGCCTACCTCTGCCTCCTGAGTACACCACTATACTATGCCCAATGCTGAACTAGTTTTTTGTTTTTTTTTTTCTTTTTTGAGACAGGGTCTCCTTGTAGTCCCAGCTGTCCTGGAACTCACTATGTAGACCAGGCTGGCCTTGAACTCACAAAGACCCACCTGCCTCTGCCTCCCAAGTGCTGGGATTAAAGACGTGCGCTACCACGCCTGGCTGAACTAGTTTTTAAAAAACTACCTTGGCAGGGAATGGTGGTGGCCAGGCCAGCACTCGGAAGGGGATGTGGTAAATCTCTGTGGGTTCTAAGCCAGCCTAGTCTACAGAGTAAGTTCTAGGCCAGACAGGGCTACAAGGAACCCCTGTCTGTCTGTCTCATCTGTCTATCATCTATCCATCCATCCATCCATCCATCCATCTATCCATCTATCCATCTGTCCATCTGTCCATCCAAGGCTTAACATAGGCAACAGTTCAGTGGGCAAAGGTGCTAGCTGACTTAAGTTCACTTTCTGGTACCCACATGGTGGAAGGTGAGAACTGTTTCCTAAAAATTGTCCTCTGACCTTTACTAGCAAGATGTGGCATGAGCTCCATGTAATAAATGCAAATATATATATATATATATATATATATAGGGGCTAGAGTACTGACTGCTCTTGCAGAGGACCTGATGAGTTCAGTTCCTAGCACCCACAGGGTGGCTATCAACTGTCTGAAACTCTAGTACCAGGGGATCTGACGTCCTCTTCTGGCCCCTGTGAATATCATACACACATGGTGTACCTTACATACATACAAGAAAAACACTTAATACACATTAAAATGAATTTTAAAAAATTAGACAAGTGTGGTGGTGCATGCCTTTAATCCCAGCACTCTGGAGGCAGAGACAGAAGGATCTCTGTGAGATCACAGCCAGTCTGGTCTACATACGAGTTCCAGGCTAGTTGGGGCTACAGGGAGACTGTGTCTAAAAATAAATAAATAAATAAAATGAATAAATAAATAAATAAATGTGGGGGAGGCCAAGTGTGGTGACCACACCTGTAGTCCTAGCACTCAGGAGGCAGAGGCAGGCAGATCTCTGTGAGTTCAAGAGGCACCACCTCACCCAGCCTATAAATAAAAATTTTAACTGGAGAAGTCCACCAAGCAGAAGCACATAAGTCCATCCTGAGCTTGTTTTGGTCTCTTAATTTTTTCCCCTTCTATAAATTCTATAGTTTATACAACCCTATTAACCAATCTCAAATCAACTCTGGAACAAAACGAGGTACAAATAAATCAAGTTATCAGACTGTAACAAATGAACACCATTTACTACCCTGTGCAGGACGATATCCTAAACACAGTCTGTACATGAAAACTCCAAAGCTGTAGCCATGGTGGCATGCACCTGTAACTCCAGAACTGAGGCTGGAGGGTTGCCAATTAGAAGCCAGCCTGAGGTACACAGCAAGACCCCATCACAAAACAAACAAATGTTCGAAAAACTTCTAGGCAGGCAAATAACTTTTGAGGCGCATAATTGTTGGGCTGATCTCATTGCTAACAATCTCCTTGAGAGTGAGCCTAGTTCTGCATCTTTTCAATGGTCTTTAATCGACACTCACTTTCTCCCCAGAAGCCTTCCAAAATTTGGAAAAAACAACTTTGTCTCTTAACCTTTTCTCCAGTTCTTCTCATTGTTCTTTATGCAACAGAGATTTCTAAGCATGTCACTCACCAAATCACTTTCCTCTTTTATACTCTACTTATAAACGATCCTCAAAAAGAAAAAAAAAAAAAAAGTCTCTGCGAACTTGAACAGATCTCCACGCACATACCGCCCGAGAGGCCTATTCCCTCTCCTGGACTGCACGCTACCCAACGCTAATGAGATTCCTTTGATCACAGGAGGTTCCGCACCCTCAGGAGCCTTCTTAATAATTCATCCCGAGTTTAGACCTCCAGGAAGAAGACAAGGCAGGCCTGGCTGGATTACAGGTAGCTCGGCTAAAGGAGCGCACAGGGAAGCGATTCTCGGAAGCAAAAACAAAAACAAAAACGAAGGTTTCATTTGTTGGAGCCGAAGGGGGTGGGAAAGGCTCTTCCCAGAGCCGCAGCTCCACCAGCTGGGGCTGGGCGGGGGCGGGGACAGGCATCGATCCTCAGGGCCACAATGGAGGGATTCCCGGAACCGCAGCCGCCAGGCCCAGTCCTCCCTCTTGAAATCTCTCGGTCACCTCCCCCCTTTCCACCCGCTACGCGAACCTGAGAGCCGCAGGCTCACCGTGACTCAGAGGCGCACCCGAAAGCCGGGAGCCCGTGCAGCGCCTCGAACGGCGGCGCAGCCGGAAGTGCGTCAGACCCCCCGCCTCCCCGCGCGGAAGGCGCAGCGGCCCCTCTAGGAATGCGGGAGGTCTTTTTGCTGTTGTGGTTGAGGCTCCCGTTGCACAGCGGTGGAGACTCCTAGACATAAACGGGCCTATCCCCCGTTCTTTTTTTTTAGTTTTCCATTTCCTTTCCTTCTTTTTGAGACAGGGTCTTATGTCTTCCAGGCTGGTCTGAAACTTTCTATGTAGTCAGTAATGACTTTGAACTTCTGATCCTCCCTCCTCCACCTCCCAAACGCTAGGATTACAAGCTTGTGCCAAACTCTGCTGGTTTAAGTAGTGCCCTGTCCTGGCTAGGCAAGGACTTGGTCAAGGGTCTGGAGAGATGGCCCGGTGGTTAAGAGCACTGTCTACCCTTGCAGAGGACCTGGGTCAGGTTCCCAGCACCCACCTGGGTGCTCACAATCATCCCTAATGCCACTTCAATTCCAGGCGATCCAATGCTCTGTACTGGCCTCCGGGTTTGTGTGTAGCTGGCGCACTTACATACATGCAGTCAAAACTCATACACATAAAATAAATTAAAAAATTAACTTGATCAACGAGCTATATCTCCAGCAAAACATAATGTGGGGCACAATGTTATGATCAATTGTGCACACAATTTACTGCACACATATTTTTCATTATTTTAATCGGTGAAATATTATAATCCTGAGAATACTTTCCCTGGTGAAATATTAAAGTGCTCCTGTTTCTTTTCGTTCCTTCTTCCTTTCCTCCTACCACCTCCCTTTTTTGAGACCAGGTCTTAGTATCCCAGGCTGGCCACAAATTCTCTTATGTAGTCAAATATGAACTTGAACTCCTAGAGCCTCCTACTTCCGAGTCCCAAATTCTGGGATTACAGGTGTGCACTACCACAGTTGGTTTATGTAGTGCGTGGGATTAGATCCACCACCTCCTGCATGCTAGGCAAGAGCTCTACCAACTCAGCTACATGCCAAGCAAAGTCTCCAGTTCATAATTAAGAAAACTTGGATCTGGAAAAATAACTTTTCAGAGAGGGTGACCTAGCTCAGTTGGACTGTGTTTGCCTAGCATGTATGAGGCCCTGGGTTCAATCACTTGCACTACACACACAAAAATTAAGAATGGACCTGTGGAGATGGCCCAATGAATAAAGCACTTATCACACAAGTTTGGATCCCTAGTACCCAGTAAAAAGCCAAGTGGCACACAGCTGTAATCCCAGTGATGGGGAAGTGGAGACAGGAGGATCTCTAGTGCTTGCTGACCAGCCAGTGTAACCAAATCAGTGAACTCCAGGCTCAGTAAGAGACCTTGTCTCACAAAATAAGGCAGAGAAGCAATCGAAGAAGACACCTGCTATCAGCCTCTGGCCTTCACTTGTATCCAGACACAGGTGTGAACGCGGGCACAAACACAACAATCTGCCTATGCTTTTGTTGACATGAAGAAAGCAGTGTTTGGATGACTCAGACCCAATTTATACTAGAGTGCTAATTGGCAGCACAGCTGAGAATAGAATTCAGTTCTTTAATTATATGTGTTTGCTTTATCTCCAGAGATTCTTTTTTCAGTGCTGGGGATGGAACCCAGTGTCACATGCATGCTAGCTCTCTATCACTGAGTTATATTCTTAGCTCTTAAGGGATTTCAAAAATATCAGGGCTGGGCGTGGTGGTGCACACCTTGCATCCCAGCGCCCAGGAGGCAGCAGTAGAGGCAGGAAGATCTCTGTGAGATCGAGGCCAGCCTGGTCTACATAGCAAGTTCCAGGCTAGCTGGGCTACAGAGAGATCCTGTCTCAAAAGATACACACACAAAAATATCATCAGGGATGGAGAGATGGCTCAGTGGTTAAGAGCACTGGCTGCTCTTGCAGAGGCCCTAGGTTTAGTTCCCTGTACCCTCATGGTGTCTAACAGCAATTGGTAACTCCAGTTCCAGGGGATCTGATGCCCTTTTCTGGCCTCCCTGGGCAATGCATGACATGGGTGCACTTACATACCTGCAGAAAAACATTCATACACATTAAGAAAAAAAATTAGCTGGGCATGGTAGCCCATGCCTTTAATCTCAGCACTTGGAACACAGAGGCAGGCAGACCTCTGTGAGATCTAGGCCAGTCTCGTCTATGTCTTGAGTTCCAGGCCAACTAGGCTACAGGGAGACCCTGTCTCAAAAAACAAAAATAAATACATATAAACCAGAGAGGCTGGATGGTTAACAGCACCATCTTCTTGCAGAAGACCTGAGTTTGAATCCCAGCACCCACATGGCAGCTGACAGTCATCTGTAACTCCAATTCCAGGGAATCTGACACCCTCTTCTGTTCTCAGCAGGCAATGCATGACACAGGTACACTTACATACATGCAGGCACAACACTTATACATATAAAATAAAAATAAATAAACCAGAAAGAACAAAAACATGAGGTCAGTAAGTTGTCCATTTAAAGCATATTATGTTAAAACAAGTTAATTTAGAATGACACATTTCCTTGTTTCATTAAAATAACTGTGGGCATGTAGAAAAACCTCAAGAGAATAGATAAGGGAAAGTTGCTGTGGGGGCTGGAGAGATGGCTCAGTGGTTAAGGACTTGAGTTGTCTTCCCAGAACCCATATTGAGAAGCTCACAACCTCCTGTAACTCCAGCTTCTGGGGCCCTGACACCCTCTTCTGGTATCTGTGGGCACTGTACTCAACGTTTACATATACACATCCACATATACACAGAAAATAAGTAAGTCTTTTTGTTTTTCAGAGAGAGAGGTCTCACTATGTAGCTCTGGCTGCCTGGAACTCACTCTGTAGACCAAACTGGCCTTAAACTCATGGAGCTCCCCCTGCCTCTACTTCCTGAGTGCTGGGATTAAACCTTTATTTTTGAAGTTAGTTACTGTGATTTGGAGCTCATTGTGATGTGTCTCATGCATTTTATTTCCAGAAAGGCTTTGATTTCCAATGAGTTCATTTGACAAATATATCTCAAGAATGTACAATATGTCAGGTATGTATGATGACACAAAAACTTACAAGTGGGTTGGGGAGATGGTTCAGTAGGTAAAGTGCTTTCCGATCAAGCCTGACATTGAGTTAAGATCTACGCCCATGTGAAAGCTGGACACGGTATATCACAATGTCCCAGCACTCCTAGAGAGAGAGAGACAGGGGAAGTGGAGACAAGGGAATTTCTGGAAACTTGTGAGTCAACTAGCCTGATATGGGTGGTGGAAAAACTGCAAGAGAGGCTGTCTCAAACAATGTGGAGGAGAGGGTCAGTATCTAAAGTTGTCCTTGGACCTCCAAACTTGCACCATGGTATATGTGTGCCTACACTCATGCATGTGAACACAAAAACAGAGAAAAAAGAGAAATATACAGTTCTCAGCAGCATGTGTCCTAGTCTGCTTTCTATTGCTGTGATAAACATTGTGACCAAGGGGGCTGGAGAGATGGTTCAGTGGTTAAGAGCACTGACTGCTCTTGCAGAGGACCTGGGTTCGATCCCCAGCACCCACATGGCAGCTAACAACTGTCCAAAACTGCAGTTCCGGGGGATCCGACTCCCTCTTCTGACCTCCGTGAGCATTGCATGACATGGGTACACTTACATGCATGCAGGCAATATACTCATATGCACTTAAAAAGAAAAATCGTGACCAAAAGCGGCTTTGGGGAGGAAAGGGTTTATCTGGTTTACATGTCCATGTCACAGTCCATCATTAAGGGAAGCTAGGACAGGAGCTCAAGGCTGGAACCTGGAGGCAGGAACTGAAGCAGAGACCATGGAGGAAGGCTACTTACTGGCTTGCTCCTCTTGACTTGCTCAGCTACCTTTCTTGTATATCGAGGCCCACCTGGCCAGGGATGGCACTGCCCACAGTGGGACTGGACCTCTTATATCAATTAGCAATTAATAAAATGTCTCAAAGACATGCCCAGAGGCCAGTCTGATGAGGGAAATTCCTCTATTGAAGTTCCTTCTTTTCAGCTGACTCTGGTTTATATAAAGTTGACAAAAGATAACCAGCACAATTGACTTGTCAACTTGAGACACAAACACAGCACTATTAAACCAAAACCTTTTTTTTTCTTATTTATCTCCAAGATTTGATGTTAATATAACATAAAACACAGTCTAGCCTTTTAAACTCCCATGGTCTTTTAAAAATTCCAATGATTTCAAAGTTCAAAATCTCTTTAAAAAAATCCAAAACCAGTGGCTGGAGAGATGGCTCAATGGTTAAGAACACAGGCTGTTCTTGAAGAAGACCCGGGTTCAAATCCCAGCACCCACATGGCAGCTAACAACTGTCTGTAACTCCAGTTCCAGGGGCTCCGACAGCCTCTTCTGTCCTCTGAGGGCATTGCATGACACTAGTGCACTTATCTACCTGCAGGCAACACACACATATGCGTAAAAATAATAAAGCTGGGCGTGGTGGTGCATGCCTGTGCTCCCAGCACTCAGGAGGCAGAGGCAGGAGGATCTTTGTGAGTTCAAGGCCAGCTTGGTCTACATAGCAAGTTCCAGGACAGCTGGGACTACAGGGAGACCTTGTTTCAAAAAGACCAAATAAATTATATAAATAAATAAAAATCCAAAACCAAAGCCTATTAACCATGGACTCTTGCAAAATAAAAAAATAACTTTTGTACATTTTTATCCCAAGAAAGAAGATTAGGGCATAGCTACAATCAGATCAAAGCAAAGCCAAACTCCAGCAGTGTCAAAGGTTCAGTGTCCAACATCTGGGACTTACAATCTTCTGGACTTCAAAAGCTTGGGCAGCTCCACTTCTCTGGCTCTGCCGCCTGCAGCATACACAGCAGCTTGTCCTGGCTCAGGCCAGGATGC